AGGTAAAGCGTTTGTTTAAACTAGCCTCAAAAATATATGCGAGAGGAAAACATAAAACATGAGCTAACTTTTTAAGAATTGCATTAGGCAAACCATCTGGACCGAACTAGGATTATTTCCTAGGATTAATTACTAGGATTAATTTCCCTTAGGGTTTTATACACGGAAAAATGAACCGTATCAATACTTATTGGATCATTAACATAATTTACAATATTAGGAGAATAACAATTATTTTAAAACACTTCCAAAGTTATTATTAAACACGTTAGCAATTTCTATATTACTGGAATTGACCTTGTTATTGTTATTTTTGTCTATTAGATGGTGGTACTTATTAGGAATATTTATTTTTTTATTAACATACTGATAAAACTTGCTAATGTTATTTCTCTCTACAAGGTTTAATTTCATTTTTGATTTGTAATTAGATAAAATTTGTTTGCAATTCCTAGCGCACTGTTTGTAAGCTGATTTGTTATAAATGGTTTTATTATTTGTCCATCTTTACCATAATAAGACTTTGCGGCTTAAGATTTTTTTAATATATTTTGGACAGTTACTTGCTTTGTTAAAATACTTTTCCCTGATAGATACAAATTTATTAGTACCAATACCAAAAAACTTTAGAAAAATGCTCCAGTAATCCTCAATTGTACAGGCACAAGAAAACTTGAAATCACAATTTATTTTTGATAAATATAACTCAAGGCTCTTAAAATCAGCATTAGGAAAGTCGTAGAAAGATTCTGGTTTATTTTCACATTGGTTGAAATTGTTCGTATTTATAGAAAATTGGACTGTGTTACGGTCGCTAGTGCTAAAAGGACACTCAACAGATATATCACTTATAAGAGAACTATTATTCGAAAAAACAAGATCAAGAAAATTCAAAATGCGCGTGGATTCTTTAACGAATTTGTGCAAATCGAGTTCGTTTATCAAATTAAAAAAATATACTATGACACTTTTCGTTTGGTGAAACATAGCTTGGCCAATCCATTTTAGGTAAGTTGAAATCGCCAACAATAATAATCTGCGACACCGAGTAACACAAATTACAAATAATTGAAACCATAAATTCAAGATAAGCATCAGTTAATGTACAAAAAGAGTTTCTGAGATCTAAAAATCATATCAACACAGATGATATCACTATCAGTGTTTACTTAATCTGTACTTGTTCTACTTTAATGTTATTTCTAAAGAAAACTGCGACTCCTTCAAGAAAACTGCGACTCCTTCAAGAAAACTGCGATTCCTTCGCCAATTTTAATACGGTCTTTGCGATAAATAATAATTTTATTTAGAAAGATTATTATTAAAAAATGTCTCACACACACAGATCACAGCATATTTTGTTGCCTCGGCATATAAATAAAACCCATGAAGTTTATTGGCTAGGCTTCCTGCGTTAAAAAGACAGAAGGAAAACTTTTTATTTGAGTTTTTTTAGAAAGAAAAGCAGGCATTGTAATTGAAATTACTTTGTTTGTTAGCTATATTTTTTCGACTTATTTTTTCATTTAATTTTTTTGCTTTTTGGATAAATCGAGATATTTTTGGACAAAAATTTACTATTAAATAACTATTAAATAACATAAAACCAAATTTAATGATTCGAAACAGTTCAGATTTCATTTCCTGTTATTTGAAATTAATTGCTTAACAATTAAGGACGACAACAAACGGTGGTTCTTTCAACGGTGGTTCTTTCAACGGTGGTTCTTTCAACGGTGGTTCTTTCAACGGTGGTTCTTTCAACGGTGGTTCTTTCAACGGTGGTTCTTTCAACGGTGGTTCTTTCAACGGTGGTTCTTTCAACGGTGGTTCTTTCAACGGTGATTCTTTCAACGGTGGTTCTTTCAACGGTGGTTCTTTCAACGGTGGTTCTTTCAACGGTGGTTCTTTCAACGGTGGTTCTTTATCAGATTAAGATTTAAGCTTTAAAATTTGTTTAAGTTCGAATATTTTAGTTGATTGAATTGAACTTATCTAGGATTGATTTTCTACCTTCCTCTCTAGCACTTGCAGTTTTACAAATCTTTTGATGCAATAATGCCAAAAATTATTACGTTGTTTTCCTTTTTCTCCCTTTCTTTCGTTTCGGCAGCAACAGCATTCATAATATGCAATTGCTCAACCGGCTATTTTAATGGTGTTCTGCACTAACAACAAAAGCCCAATATGTTGAGGTTGGCGCGCTTGGAGACTTGACATTTTCTAAAGGTTTAATTTTTTCTAACAGAAATGATTTGCAATTTTTTAGCTCATCGATTTTTTTTTTAACGCTCCAATTATTTTTTCTTGCTCGGTTTTATAAGTATTGAACTCAGTTGACTGAACATTTACCATTATTATTAGCTTTAACTTTATTAAATCTTTTTTACTTGTAATAATTTCGTTGATAAAATCGTACGCAAAAACACGTCTTGTCACTTTAAAAGCGGAAGTTTCATATATATATATATATATATATATATATATATATATATATATATATATATATATATATATATATATATATATATATATATATATATATGATGACGGTGATAGAACGACAACAAAAACTTAAGGGGCCTTTTAAAATTAAATTACTTGGCGTCAGCATTTGGTAAACCTTTTTTTTTTAAATTTTTTCCCAGGGTTATGAATTTTTAAAAACTTTTGGGTTTTTGGTCTTGTACTTTACAGGAATGTGACGAATTAACTTTAGGCCGGAAAATGATGCTGTCATTTTTATGTTCCTTTTCAATAAACTTCTCTAACAAGACATTCAAAACAAGAAAGCTCGATTTAGCTCTATTTAACTTTAGCTTTTTAATAACAACCATTTCCGAAAAACCGAAGCGGCATTTTAGTTTTCTTTTTCTGTTTTTCTTTTTTTTTTTTAAATATAAATAAACAAAAAATATACAAGTATTTGATTTAATATATAAAAAGAAAGTGGACACTGTCAGAAGATCATCATCGACACTGTCAGAAGATCAAGTCTTCATCGAGACACTGTCAGAAGATCAAGTCTTCATCGAGAACCACTTGTAAATTTAAAAATTTCATAAAAATCAAATGAATACATTCATGGTCAAGTGTATAAAGCACAAGAAAAATTTAAGCGCAATACATATTCAGTTACATCCTTGCATAAAAAATAAAAAAGTAAATTATTCAATGTTTAAAAATACAAAAATATATCGCACTACACCAAGCAATATTTGCATAGTATCAATGATAATGGATAAAGAAGTAATATTATTGAGTTAAATTACGTTTATTTAAAGCACTTCTAGCTTTATACATTATTCCTATACTTTTGCTGTTTAAGATTAATCATTCCTTGATGTAAAAATGATATCTGCATATTGAGAAATTATTTATAACAAAAGTTATTCATGTTTTTTTAACATGCCTTAAGTGGGCCTTATTACCCCCCTAGGGGGGTAATAAGGCCCATGCAAAAAATAAAAAAATAAATAAAGAAAAAACAGAAAAAAGTCAGGAAACCTTTTAATGCATAGTTTATCTCACATTTATAAAATAAGAAGTAATCTTGCATAAATATATACTTCAAAAGAACCAATTTTTTATACAACATTGAATAACAATATAAAATTAAAAATTTAAATTAAAAAATGTTACAAAGATAATCATTAATCTTAACAGAATGGACATACTAAATCTTCCTCATCTTCAGAATCATACCCCATGCACACCTCATGGTACCATACTTTACATATACAACATTGTCGCATACTTTCCAAACTTTTGCTAGAACAACGAACAAAACCAATCATTCACATCCACACTTACAGACTTACTTTTCTTTGCACTTAGCCCTTAATCTTTTTATTACCAGCTTTAGAAGTGGAAGATTGAAAATCTTCTTTCGTCAGGGCTATAAGGAACATAGTTAAAACTTTTTTTGCGGCCAACCAAAGCCATATTTTTCTTTTTAGCAGGACTCGGCATTAAAGCTAACAGCGAAACTTGCATTGAGATTCATTTCGGGTTGATTGACTGGAGCTGTCGAGGGACTGGGTTGATCGACTGAAACCAGATGTAGATATGTAATTTTTAGTAGGCCTTATTACCCACTTTGGACCTGCCACGTTTATCGATAAAGTATCCTTTTGTTACAACACATGCATAAATATTTCATGTTGGGTAATGATAACTAATAAATACTTAATGCAAATAAATGCACTTGAAAAAAATAGAAGCGTTATAAAGTATTTAAAAATGTGAAAATACGTACCTTAAAAATGCCAGTGATAAAACCAGATAACTCTAATATTTTATTGCCAAAAAAAGTTTTGCATTTATATTTTTCCGTAGTTTGGACTAGTGGGCCTTATACCCACACCCACCTTACTTATGATAACGAATACTAATTTTGTTATCGATAATTTTGCATATGTACGGTTGTGATAAATTAAATCGTTTAGAAAGACCATTCTGTGAAACACCATCCTTTTGATAAACCAAATTTTTAAGACATTTTATCTGATTTTCAGAAATTTTTTATTTTTATTAAATAAAAAATTTAACTCGTATTAAATAAAAAACTTTCAATTTAGTTATAATTAAAAATGAAAAAAGGTCTTATAAGTTTAGTTGTAATTTAGTTAGCTCTAAGTTTAGTTGTAATTTACTTTATAATATTTGTATTAAATAAAAAATTTAATTTGTATTTAATAAAAAACTGAAAGTTTTTTATTTAATACAAATTAAATTTTTTATTTAATACAAATAAAAAATTAAGAGCTAAAGAGTTGTAAATATAATTTTTTTATTATACATATAAAAAGTTAAATTTCTAACTAAGTATATAGTTAAATAACACACTCCTATTTTGTGATTGCAAGTGTGTTAAATTATTCTTTCATATTTTTATGTTTAATAAAAGTTTGTACCTTTTTTTTTAGTTAGCATGTTATATATAGTTGCGCACCTGCATGTATGTATGTTTAATTGACGCGTACTCAGAAGACAAAATGTTATGTTAGAGATGTATTTGTAATCGTAACTATACATTATCTATATAAAAGTATTCGATTTGATGAAAGCACGATATCGAGGTGATGAGTCTGAAAGTCTTTCTGATAACTGATCATTTAATGCTGTTGGTAGTATAGATTTTATAGTGCCCTGTGAGATTTTTGCCTAAAATAAAAATAAAACCTCAGACTATTTTGGTGTAAGGATCTATAACATTAATTATACAAAATTATTAACATAACATTAAAAACTGTTTCACATAAGTAATAAAAACTTTTCAAATGCTTTAGTGCTAAAGAAACTGATTAAAAATTATAAATAAATTTAATTTTACTGATATTTCATACTGTTATCGGTATTCAATACTGATATCGGAATTCAATACTGCTATTGGTATTCAATATTGCTATCGTTAGTCAATATTACTAACAGCATTCAAGGCCGGCGCGATAGGGGTGTGTGGGGGGTGTCATACCCCCCCCCCCATCAATGATTTTTAGTCGGCAAATTGGACCCTTACTCGGCAAATTGGACCTAGTTAGTCGGCAAATGTGGACCCTTTCCATACAGGTTAGACCGTCGGCAAATGTCGTCATGACAGTCGGCAAATTTTGGAAAACGAGGACCTTTTTTTTTTTTTTTTAGTCGGCAAAAGTTGTAATGGCACTCCTCCCCCCCACGTAACACAAACTCGCGCCGGCCCTGACAGCATTTAATACTGATATCGGTATTCAATGCTACTATCTGTATTCAATACTAATATTGGTATTTAATAATGCCGATTGGTATAACGTTAAACCAGGTTTGAATCTTCTGCCTATATTTTAATGTGCTTTTGTTTCTCTTCATTCAATAACTTTTCTTTTTGTTTTTTAGTGTAATTATTCTTTTGAAGACAAAGTGCACATGTGTATGCATTAAAAAATGTATATCCAATATTGCAGAGTTAGTCCTACATGAAATGTCACTAACGATTTTATTGATATAGAAAAAGATAAGGGTTTCAGCATATACATAAACAAAAAGCAGTAAATAAAAAGTGAATAATGTGAAAAAGCCGTTTCTAACATTTTTTATCAAGGAAAATCAAAAAACAACATACAAAATGCTGTTGATTTGATAGAAATAAGATAAAGAGATTTATTTTTATTATTATTTTTTCAATGCTAATTTACCTCCCCAAAACCGAGAAGGCCACTACTGTAGGCCACTACCCTTTAGTTGTGGTTACAACCCTCTGTCAACTCTATAATTCCAAATCATGAACCTTGACAAACAAGGGGGCTGCACAGAGAAACAATTTGAGCGCGGTACTACCAGGGATGTGGTAGGGATCGAACTCGGAACTTCTTGCTTATGAGACAAGCATTCTACCACCTCACCACTACAGCATAAGAGAAATTCCATTAAATGGAATTTCCTAGATGCTGCTTCCTTTACTATTCTCAGAGATACTTAGTACATGGAACCAAGTTATACAAAAAGCAGTAAATTTTCACCTTACAGACCATATTTTAAAGAATGAGGTTTTCTGAAGTTGGCTAAGAGATTGTAAATTTTAGAAAGATTTAACTGAAAAATAAACACTGTAAAAATAGTAGTAAAAAACAAACAAACACTGTAGCCAGTAAAACCAAAATGCGCTAAAAATTCAGTGAAAACAAATCACCATGTTTACTACCATAAGTAAAAGAGAAATCTTAGTTTAAATAAAAATGAACCATATTTACTACCTTAAGTAACAGAGGAATATTGGCTTATTTTCAACATACTTGACAATTTGAAAAAAATTATCATTCAACAGAATGTAAATTAAATATCATACTTTTGTGGCATTTACTGCTCAACAGAATGTAAATTAAATATCATACTTTTGTGTTTTTAAATAACTTTTATTTATTAATAATTAACATATGCTCTAAAGCTCTCGCTTGACCATTAAATATGACACCATTAGTTATGTTTCATACTAATGAGTAACATGAAATGTAACTCACTTAATGATAATTTTTTCAAATTAGCAAATTCAAATTTTTTTATTTGTAGATTCCTAGTATAGCTTGATCATCACAAAAAACTTTAACATAGTGCCTATAAACTTTTCAGTTAATAAAAATTGGTGTTCTATGAAACAGGTATTTAGTGCACTTAGAGAAAATTATGGTACATAATTGGCATACCAAACACCTAATTCCCTGTAATATTTAGAAACTCAAAACCTAATTTTGATCATTAGATAAAATGTAACTAAATAAGCCGAACCCAGCAAGTAGTGAAAAAAGTATAGTAATGGTGGCTGAAACAAGATATTTGTAATATACTCAATAACTTGATTTATCAGATGAAACGTCTTTTACAGGATTAAAATTGAACTTGTGCATGAAGCTAAATGATTGTCATTTTGGTTATTTGTAGTCAGCCTATTTCGGACTCTAGACTAACCCAATGAAATTTAAGATTAACCATTACACGAAAAAAAGCAACGATTCGGTGCAATCTATGGGCATTTAGATTGGTATCTGCTAATGGTATCCCATATTGTGCTTTAATAACAAGTCTTTGTTTTCAAAAACAAGAGTTCCAACAAATGGTACCAATTACCACATTACCTCTAAATGAGTCTATACACACACGGGCCTATCTGGGTTTTTATGGAACCAAATAATGCAATTGAAATGTTATTCAGTTTATTTAATGTTAGTCTAGTGAAGTTGTCATTTCTTTCCTTATTATTTAGAATATTTCATCACAGATTTTTTTTTCTTCAATAAAATAGTTTAAATTCAAAATATGTATGTATGCATGTATGTACGTATGTATGACCTTCGGAGTAACTTACAACATGTTCTGATACTTCAACAGAACAAATGTAACCTACTAGTAAAGCACAATCTACACACAAATACTTTTTCTTGTGGTTTTTGAAGGATAAGCATAACAAGTCTGACATTATGATGAATCTAAACTCCAAAATATAATTAAAATGACTGCGTTTATTTCTAGCAAACAATGATGCGCTATGGAACAATAATAACTAAAACTATCAATCTGAATAAAATTTATACTGCTTGCAGAACGCTGATTTCCCTTCTAAAGATATTCTTTCTTGTTATTATTAGAGTTTCTCAAACGGGATCACATTTTCCTTGGTTACAGTATAAACTGTAACCAAGGGAGTATATACTATTTAAGATTTTTTTTCAACTATGTATTTTTTTTGTTGGTAAAGTTTTGTATCTAATTTAATAATCATTTAGTTATTTTATAATTCATAACAACTATACTTATGATTCATAACAACTATACTTATAATTCATAACAACTATACTTATGATTCATAACAACTATACTTATGATTCATAACAACTATACTTATGATTCATAACAACTATACTTATAATTCATAACAACTATACTTATGATTCATAACAACTATACTTATAATTCATAACAACTATACTTATGATTCATAACAACTATACTTATGATTCATAACAACTATACTTATGATTCATAACAACTATACTTATGATTCATAACAACTATACTTATGATTCATAACAACTATACTTATGATTCATAACAACTATACTTATAATTCATAACAACTATACTTATAATTCATAACAACTATACTTATGATTCATAACAACTATACTTATAATTCATAACAACTATACTTATGATTCATAACAACTATACTTATGATTCATAACAACTATACTTATGATTCATAACAACTATACTTATGATTCATAACAACTATACTAGGTTGGTTGAAAAGTTCGCGGAGCGGAAATGAAAAAACAATTTTATGATTCAAAAAATGACTTTATTCTTCAGTATATTCTCCCTTAAGAGCAATACACTTTTTCCAACGATTCTCCAATTCATGTATCCCATCTCTGAAGTGCGATTCCGGAAGGCCTTCAAAATACCCATTTACGGCTGCAATGACTTCTTCATGTGATGAGAAACGCTTTCCACGTAGAAATTTTTTGAGATGTGGAAAGAGGTGGAAGTCGGATGGAGCCAGATCTGGTGAATAGGGTGGATGTTCCAAGCGTTCGTACTTTAATTCGACCAATTTCGCCTTTGCAACATCGCTGATATGAGCAGGTGCGTTGTCCTGGTGATAAATGATTTTTTTATGCAGCAAACCAGGTCTTTTCTCACGAATTTTTTTATCCAACTGGTCCAAAAGATTTTTATAATATTCACCTGTTATCGTTTTACCGGTTTGAAGGTAATCTATTAATAAAATTCCTTTCGCATCCCAAAAAACTGATGCCATAACCTTCTTTGACGATTTTGACGCCTTCACTTGCTTCGGAGCTGAACAACCGGGTTCTGTCCACTCTGCAGTTTGTTGTCGCAGCTTCGGATCATAGTGGTAAACCCAAGTCTCATCCATGGTTACGAATCGACGCACAAAATCTGTTTTATTCTTTTGAAAACGGGCCAAATGTTCTTGAGAAAGTTTTACTCGAGTGCGTTTCTGATCCAGAGTTAGCGAATGCGGCACCCATCTTGCCAACAGCTTTCTCAGACGTAATTCATCGTGCAAGATGTATAATACCCGTTCATCTGAGATGCCCACAGCCTCAGCAATTTCACGTTTGGTCAATCGTCTATCATCCATAACCATGTCATGCACAGCATTAATCGTTTCTTCAGTAGTAGCACTTTTTGGACGTCCAGAGCGAGGGTCATCTTCAAGGCTTGAACGCCCACGTTGAAACTCCGCAGCCCATTTGCATACTGTTGTTTTTGAAGGAGCATCATCACCCAACACATTTACCATTTCATTATGAATTTCCATGGGCTTTAAACCTTTTTTCACAAAGAATTTTATTACAGCACGATGTTCAATATTTTCCATTTTAAAAAATACTATGACACGTCTAATTTCAATAGCTTGTAAACAAAGACTGAAATGACATATCGACTTGAAATTTTTTATGCGTTCATACGAAGAATGAATACGTTTAATACAGTTATAAATTTGTTTCTACTACTGCAACATAGGTGCCGCTCCGCGAACTTTTCAACCAACCTAGTACTTATAATTCATAACAACTATACTTATGATTCATAACAACTATACTTATGATTCATAACAACTATACTTATGATTCATAACAACTATACTTATGATTCATAAC